ATTAGACTGAATTAGATTAATCCAGGATGGATGTGATGTGTGACATGAGTGTGGCCTACATATGTCGGAAAACCCTAAGTATGGGAGGCTGGCATGTGGTTCATGGGATCATTTATATTTCAAGTCCTACAACTCTATAAAACCTTTCCATGCTACTGACTGTGAATTGTTTGAGCCAAGACCCCTCCTCACCTCACCAAAAATCGCTGCTGGTTATGAAAAGAAACATTCTCAGGAGGTATGTTTCCCTATGAATTTCCTTCGACTGGAGGAATTTTCTCCATTATGGCTATGGGCACTAGCAGAAAGAACTGAAAAGGAAGAGTGATGAAAGGCAGGTATCTGAGGTAAGTATTCCAAGAAATGAAGAAAAGGAGGAAACCAAAGTTGCTACCTTTTTGGTTAAAAAGGCAGAGCATAAAGATGGCAAAATTGCCACTGAAAAGGAACACAGAACCTGACACTCATTTTTAGGACCACTGTACTACTACATTTGTTTCCTAGCATTTTCACAATTAGATCTAAAAGCACTAGCCTTTAGAATAAACCTAGATGCTTCTTTCAATGTGCAACTACTCTATCTCATTTTTTCCCCCCAGAGATCCAGACATCATCATCATCTCTTGGGTCCAAAACACAAAGCAGAAATAATCCAGTTTGAGTATTGTGGAACTGTAGTATTGTGAGACATTTAGCCTTCTCTGTCTGAGAGCTCTGGTGCCACAATAAAGTACAATTCCCAGGATTCCCTAGCACTGAGGCAGAGCAGTGAAAGCAGTCTCAAATGGATTATTTCTGCAGTTTGTTTTGGATCCTAGTTGCTCTCCAAAATTCTTCCTCCCTTTCTTACATCTGCAGTGGGCTACACTGGAGAAAAAAAACCCAAAATTGAAAAGAAGGAAAAGGTACAACAGCTGCACAATCTCTTCAAATTAGAAAGACTAGGAGGAGCTGTCTATGTGGAAGTACCTCTGCCAACAATCCAGCCTAAAATAGAAATATTTTAACAATAAATGTGTTAACAAAAAAGTGTGTGTGTGTCTACACACCTGTTTTAGATTATGCAGTATACCTTTGGCAGGACCCACTGGTTTTGATTTTTTAACTTGCAAAAGGCCATGTAGATTGGACAAACAGATGACAATGATGTGCTAATATAAATTCTTATGGAGTACACCAACTAAAACAACACTGTCTCTCAAACCACAGTGCTCTACAGGGAAGTAAATACATTTTTGTAGCTTGGTGGGCCGGTGCAGGATTACAGTACTGAGGTGCCAGTTGGATTAAATTCAGTCACTGGCCTTCATCTTAACCATATCATGAACCCAGATGTTAAATTGGAGTCTCCCTGGAAAAAAAGATTTATATCTATGAAGCCATGTTGTAAAAACTTGCAGTATTTTGTTAAACAGTACATACTGGAAGCATTTTCACAGTTAAAACAAAATGTCAGAAAATAGAAAAGCTCAGCTGCTTCTAACAGAAATTTAGCTACACAGCAGAAACTCCTTATTACAGTATACATTTTACAGCCAAACAAATGCATATACCAGCTATAAAATCTTTAGAATGGCTTTAAAAACAAATAATTAATGTGCTGACATATTACCCATTAATTATATTAAATTCAACATTATAGCAGTTAAAACTATAAGTTCAACCACTGCAAACTAATACTATCATGAGAATTGTATTTTTTAAATATATCCTGACTTTATTTCATTATTTGCAATTTAAAATATAAAATGTTCTCTAGTGCCTCATCAATTTGCATTCAGTTAACTTTTAAAGACAGAGAACATAAAACAGCTGTGGTATTATTTGTTGTTGTTGTGTGCCTTCAAGCCATTTCCAACTTATGGTGACCCTAAGGGTTTTCTTGGTGAGAGAAAGGGTTTGCCTTTGACTTCAGAGGAAGACTTTTGTTTGCCTTTGCCTTCCTCTGAGGCTGAGAGAACGTGACTTACCTAAGGTCACCCAGTAAGGATCCATGACTGAACAGGGATTTGAACCCTGGTCTCCAGGATCCTCATCCAGCACCCAAAACCATGTCTCGAAAATACAAAGCCATGGCTCTAGTCAGGACCCCAAAGAAGTTGAGACAGAGGTGAATGGGAAAATAAGAGTATATTGACTGCAGCAGTCTCATCTATAGGATCACTTGTTACGTTTCAAACATAGCACGACAAAGCTGGATCAAAAGAATACACTGAGCTCTTTGCATCTGCAAGGGTTTTATTCCCCATAGATGGGAGGAAGCATAAGAGCTCATGTTAATGGATGGTGACATGTGCCCGCCTGCATCAGCGTATCTGCAATCATGTACCACCATTGGGTCATGTGCAATGATGTCTTCAAGTCTTTTACTCTAAGTTTCAAGTCCTTGCAGGATACTTTCAAGTCAAGTCTCATGTCAAATCTCAAGTTTGGGAGCCAACTTTAACAGAAAAAAGGAGGTGAGGTGGGAGGGAGATGGAGTTTCAATAACTAGAAAATCAAGAAAATGTGCACAAAGTTAAATTATCATAGGCAATTTACCAAGATTACATTTTAATAAAGTGAGGTATACTCTGCAGCCTGTCCCCACTGCACATCTGAGGAGCTTTCTAAAGCTCTCCCTAGGAACAGCAGACAAGACATGCCCCCTGAGCACAGGATGCATTTTATTGGTGGGGAATATCAAATGTGTTAGGTAATGGATTTGAGGTGGATCCTTTTGAAAAGCTCTAGATGGCACATGAAAAATCCCATGTTCAGTGGGGACAGGTTGCTGAGTAGCTTACCCCCCAACACACGCCTTAAGCCTAGAGTGCAGGCACGTTTCTTGGAGAGGAAGAGCAAATGTGTTAGGCAATGGGCTTGACGTCTACAGGAAGCAGGTGCTTCATGGGAAACATAAAGTATTGCTTCCATCAAGTGACTTGAAAGCAAAAAGCAGTGAGATGGAAGCATTGTTCAAAGGAAGAAAACTGTGTTCCATAGAATCATAGAATTATAGAGTTGGAAGAGACCACAAGGGTCATCCAGTCCAACCCCATGCCATCCAGGAACTCAAAATCAAAGCATCCCCAACAGGTGGCCATCCAGCCTCTGTTTAAAGACCTCCAAACGAGACTCCACCACACTCCAAGGGAGTGTGTTCCATTGTCGAACAGCTCTCACTGTGAGGAAGTGCCTTCTAATGTTGAGGTGGAACATTCCATTCTGTAGCATTTCTGGATGATGTTAGGCCAGCATGTCAGTTGCTAAAAATATACAAGTCATGAGTCAAGTTAAGTCAGTGCAACTTGAATCCAAATCAATTGACTTGAGTCTATATCAGGGGTCCCCACTTTTTGACCGGGGGCCGATTCGCTGGCCCCCAAATATTCCAGGGGGCCGAATGCGCACGCGCATGGCTTCCAAAATGGCACCCAGAGTCGTGCGCATGCGTCACCATTTGGTGGGCACAAGCAGTGCGAGAGGCGGTAGTGGCGGCGGCAGCAGTGGCGGCGGTGGCGGGGTGGCGTGCGGGGTGGTAGGAAGGCCTCGGTGAGCCGAGTCTGGCCTGCAGGCCATAGTTTGGGAAACCCTGGTCTATATCATTGCTAGTTTGGGGCAGTGCCCACCGATACAGTGAGCTCACCATATTCTCATCTAGTTTGTCTCATCCTCTGTTAGCAAAAGAGGCTAGCCAGATCTCTCTGGGAAGTTTACAAGAAGAACATGAAAGCTATAGCCCAAACCTGTTTACCTTTCCAAGTATCTGACATTCATTCAGTAATACACCTCCTTTGGAGCTGGAGGTTCCAATTAGATATTTTGGCTAAAAGTAATTGGTAGATAGATCTACCCCTCTTAAAAATAGGTGCAAACCCTTTCCAAAGCCATCCCCTGAATATTTATTACACATTATATACAAATATACAGTGGACTTGCCATCCACGGATTTAAGCATCTATGGATGGCAAGCTCATGGAGGGAGCGGAGGAGGAAGAGGAGGGGGAAGGCATGGTGCAGCATGAGGCAGGAAGAGGAGGAAGACAAGGACGAAGGTGCGGCACAGCACAAGGCAGGAGGAGGTAAAGATGAGGTCAGGCAGGGGGAGGAAGAGGAAGGCACGGCATGGCACAAGGCAGAAGGAGGCAGATGTCAAGGTGGGAGGAATAGGAGGAAGAGGAAGGCAAGGTGAGGTGAGGTGTGGCACAACGAGGAGGAGGAAGGTGTGGCAGGAGGAAGAGGAG